CAAATATCCTCCTCAACCCCCGATTCTCAAACACCTGCAATCTGTGTTCCTCCCTCTGAGTGAGAGACCATGTTTCGCACCCATACAAAACAACAGGCAAGATTATTGTTTTGTATATTTTAATCTTTAGTTTCTTAGAAAGGTAACGATATTTAAAAAGTGGTATTTCACTTATGAATATCTTATAACATTACTTGTAATTAAATATTTTTTAAAAACTTCGTTCTCAATGTTTAAGTTTCATATTATAAATTTGTACTCTGTTTTTGTGTTATCTTTCGATCTCTTACGTCATTTTTATATTTTATTATACAATTATATCAAGACCGTTGTTTTAGGTCTTGACTGCGATTTCTCTTGTCAGACACAAAAATGAAACTGAATTAACGAACTAACCCTTTTAAGTCTAAGCTCATTAAATAATATTTCGGAATTTAGTTAGTACTACAAAGAAAACATACCTCTTCAACACTGTTAATGATGTTTAAGGAAATAATTGTTGTTGATAATCATACAAAACTTATAAATACAAAATGGATTGTTGCTGATTTTTGAAGCAGGTTGTACGTATTTATCATTTCGCTTTAAAGGATTAATTATTATTTTATTATTTCATAACTTGTGTTGGGCAAGGCCGTGGTCTAAGCAACACGGAGTTTTCCTCCGTGGCATCCCAACAATTACTCCATTCACACACAGAAGAAGGCAATGGCAAACCACTTCTGGATCATCTGCCAAGAACGTATATGAACAGGTCCCAGTCCGAGAAAAGGATGGAAGGATCCTGTTCATATGGACCTGTCGTCAGACAGAACACTAAATAAATAAAAATAATAAATAATAGTTGATCTATCATAAACAAAATAACCATTAATTCAATGCAAATTACATGGACTCTGTTTCAGCTAATGTATAATTTAGAATATTCGTGGAGCAATGCAAGTGTAATTTCACAGTGAGAGTGTAAAATGAGTTTTTACAACGTATTTCTAAGTAAGTCATAAGGCATGAATACAGTGGATTAAATGAGAATATGATTTAATACTAAGAGACGTTCTTATGTAAGAAAGAGTGAGAGAAAAATCGTAAAAAGCATATACAGGACTTAACCTGATAAACACATGTTCTAACAGAACACATGCTTGGGTTTGGTACACAAGATATAATAAGGCAGTGTGATACATACGTCTACTGTACTGGTAAGGCTAATTTGTGTTTTGTGGTAGAAGATTCCAATACTCGAGTCAGAGAACATTTATAAATATTTTATGAAATTTAGTTGAAAATTTTTCATTATTGGGACGCTAATTAGAAATCATATGGTTAGTGGCGGACGCTGTAATAATTTATTTAAAGACACCGTATCACCTATATATAATAATCTACAGTCGTGTCGTTGCGAAATTCAATTTTTTTTTTCTAATTTGTAGAGGCCCAAATCGAAATTGTTATGCGGACGTTAAAGAGAACATGGTACGACATTCAATTCTAAAGGGTTTTGACGACGGTAGTTTACACATAAAATTATTCATTGTCGGAGACAGAACTAGCCTCCGAAACGTCGTGGTTTTAAAGAACAGACGATGGGAAAAGTCCTGACAACGAATAATTTTAAATGGTATGACATGCTTTCGAACTAATATGGACTACAAGAAAATAATTTAAAAGTCTCAAGTCTTCATCTTCTAAACTTAGATGGACCTTATCTATAATTTATAAATATTAAATTATTGCATTATATTCGTAATTGACGGTATATATTACAATTTTAAAACTTTCAGAAATGTTTGCAAGTTACTTTCGTACGTATTCAATTCTAGTATTAGGTATTGTACGAGAAATATCCATCAATAATATCGTTATTATTTTATTTTCTATATGTTGAGACCACGATAAAAATGTAATCGCTGTTATGAAAATTGTTTGAAGTATAACGTATGATTTAACAAACTGGAAAGTGAATTTTATATAAGTTATTTTTTTATTTGTAGTGTTCTGTCTGACGACAGGTCCATATATTATGAACAGGATCCTTCCATCCTTTTCTCGGACTGGGACCTGTTCATATACGTTCTTGGCAGATGATCCAGAAGTGGTTTGCCATTGCCTTCTTCTGTGTGTGAAGGGAGTAATTGTTGGGATGCCACGGAGAAACCGGGGAAGAAGCCCCCGGAGGAAAACTCCGTGTTCCCTAGACCGCCCCCGGAGGAAAACTCCGTGTTGCCTAGACCACGGCCTTGCCCAACAGAAGTTATAAATTTGAGCACCTAAGGGAATTGAACCCGGGACCCCAAAGCTTACTAGGCTAGTGTTCTGACCGCTAGACCACCGTGGCGGTATAAGTTATTATTAAATGTTAAATATGTTTTGGGTTATAAAACCTGACATAATTTCGAAAGTCTTTTTTATTTTTAGTTGAGACTGTAACACATTTTCATTTTGTTATTCCGGAAATTTTTCGTGATTTTAAATTTGTATTGCATCGAGAAAATTAATCAACTTTAACGTTATAATTTTCTTTCGGGAGGCATTTCTTTCGATTCTCAAATATATTTCTCAGTCTTTTGAAGCTAATGGTTTGAAATAAGCCAAGACATGACCGTTTACGTAAAAATCCTTACCTACTCATTATTCATGATCATCTTTCCATTAAATCCTCGTTAAATAGCATAATCAGATCTGAAATATCTTTCCAGAAATATTTGCTTGAGAAAATAGTATTACCCTATTCGGACACTTGCCACATATGCTTTGTTTGAGATTAAGTGTATCAGATAAATCGATTCAAAATGCCGTTTCAGAACACCCTATGCTTGAAACAGTAACCACGCAAACACATCATTCAGTTGATTGATGTCTTTGTCTAAGCTGTGCTAATTCTCATGAAACGAGAGACACAATAAGGGTTTGGATGAGGGGTGTAAAGTTTCTATGTCATCAGTGTAATCCAGACTTTATTACCGATAGTAGTACTCTTGTTAGAAAAGTCTTGTGTTTACTCTGGCTTTTACTGAAGGTTTTCCATTAGCCATGCCACGATGTAGCTCTGTGGGATGAGAAAGGAGACGTTGGCTGTTGACGTCTTGAAAAGTTCGAAGCTACATAGAAATTGGAAATTGTACGCTGTGTGATCCATATGATATATATATATATATATATATGCAGTTACCTTTGAATTACTTGCTCGAATGTTTTGTTTTTAAATTTTCTTCGTAAATATATTTTTTTATATTCCTTTAGAGTGTCGTTAATTAAACTAAGGAAAAGTATGTTACTTAAGAAGGTAACAAACGCTTAGCAACTCAATAAATGTATCAGTTTAATAGCACACCAAGGTTTATTACCATATTAAAAATTCCCGCTAGTATTTTGAGCAATATGATTCCAATACTTTTTTTATATATCATATTTTAAAGTCAGTTTTAATATTATCCTCCCACCTACGTCTACGTGTTTTAGGTGTTATCTCCGGTTCAGATTTTCTGTCTAAAATCCTGCATTCATTTTTTTAAATTCTTATATATCTAATGCTTACCCCTTCCATCGAAATTATAGAGCAACACTTTTCTCCAACGTCATGTTACTCTTAAGTTCAAATATTATTCTTTGCCATATTTTAATAAATTAACGTCGTCTATATTCCTTACCTAGGGTAAGAGGTAAATTTTTACACTTGTAGAAAATAACAGATAAAATTATAGTCTTCTCTAATCGTTTCTACGTTTTAAGAAAAGAAAATTATTCATAACTCGCGGGCATCAGTTATTTACCGGATGTAATCTGCTCTTAAGTTCACGTTCAATGTGATTTTGTCACTCTCACTGTGATTATTTAATAATCAGACTTCATAACACTTTCAAATTACTTAATATCTTATGTTTTACATTTTTAACTGAATTGTAGTGACAATATAGAGGCTACTGAGTTTTAATAATTTACCTCTAGACCTGCCTATTTACTTGTGATAAATACAGATTTATTTATTTTCTCGCCGAATAAATAAATATTTTAAAAGCAGGCCAGAAACAAAAGTAATACGGTCAGTTCCATGTTTAATAAGCATTTTCCTTCTCCGTATAAACCTATGCATACATTAAGGCCACCACAACTTATAATTTAATTGTCTTCAAATTCATTAGATTAATTTTCGTAAAGCCATTTGCGATATCGAACGATTTCTCGCATATCGAACGATTTCTGGTGTATCTAACGATTTCTCGCATATCGAACGATTTCTCGTGTATCTAACGATTTCTCGCATATCGAACGATTTCTCGTGTATCTAACGATTTCTCGCTTATCGAACGATTTCTCGTGTATCGAACGACCAAATTTCGCGCACCAATTACAAAGCAAGGAGAAGGAAGATATTTCTTCGTGAATACGACTTGTAATCAACGCCATCTTTTTTGCAGGTGGCTTTGAAACGGCAGCAGGCAGCTGAAGACGCCATTGCTCTGGGTCTGACAGCTGTTGCCACTGGAACGCAGTTCGGGTATCTCCCGCCAGGTCCAATCTTCGGTATGGCAATAACCGCTCCTAAAAGTCAAGATCAGGGTAAGTCGTATTACTGGACAACTGATAAAATAACAGACGAAGATATTTTACGTTTGATATTAAGTAAGGGAAATATAGCAAGTAACACAGACGAGAAATAAATACTTAATTTTGTTTCGAAAACTTTAAAGAAGAGAATTCTTGTGAAACCTAATCGTAGTATTGGAATAATATTAAAATGGATCTTAGTGAAATAAAATATGAGTGTGGAAATTTGTCTTCTTAGATAATGCGAAATTAGTCTGGTAGAAGTTTACCGACGTTTCAGATGTGCTAATGATGGAGGCAACATTTATCTCTGAAATATCGGTTAAGTTTACCAACCTGCAAGACTGAGTATCCCAGAAGACTCATCTTTTTTACTAAGTTTGATCGGAATACGATCTTATGATAGACTCGTGTTTACACTGAATTTTATAGCAGCATAAAAGCTTGTGAATTTCTTGATCAGCTAAGCAAATATTTCTCCTAAAGAATTTTGCAGCTTTACTGAGTCAGTACTACATACGCTGATTTCTCTGACAAAATTAATTTTACTACAGAAATATTAAAATTATTTGTTTCAAGGTCGGCCACTTTAGTCTTACCGTAACACTCCACACTTTTATTCAAAAAGAAACCAGTTTGATTCTATATTGATATACGGTTTATTCCCTAAAATATTCGTAGTTTTCCTCAGTATGTGCATGAAAATGGCAGGATTGTACCTAAAACATACCACAACTTCCGTTCACACCAATATTTGTTATCTTCCGAAATATTTCGACACTCTGTAACTTATGTAGTTGAAACAGCGTCGTTAAATATTAAATAATCAGTTTTGACGTTGTTTCCGACTCTCGTGCCTTGACGTCAGTGATGTTCGGCCTTGTTGCTTTACTTTTCATAGGTGTACGATTTGTAGAGAAACACAGAAATGATATTATTTACTAATAGGGAAATTGGTCCAGACGCAAACTCAGAGATAATCTAAGCATTCTTATGTTGATGTCTTGTCACCAGACCACAGAATGAAATCATTATATTAATATAACTAATAAATCATTTGAAAATGTGCTAAAGTTAAAATATTTTTGGGACGACGGTCAAATGAGGCCACCCCTGATTTAAAGTTTAGTTAAATCTCCGACAAGATGAAAGATCCAAAGAAAGATAAAATAATAGTCAAGTCAAGAACAGACTGAATTCGTAGTTCAAAATCGTTTGTCTCCTTATATGATGTGTATAAACGTAAATATTAAAATATATAAAATCATAATTTTATCTGTTTTTATATGAGTTCCAAACCCGATATCCACGTTAAAGGGATTGACACCGATTGAGGGTGATTAAGAAGAGGGTGCTTGGAAGAATATTTGTACACAAGAGGGGCGAAGTTACAGGAGACTGGAGAAAACTGCTTAATGAGTAGCTCCGTAATTTATATGATTTTCTTCGTCAAATAATATTACGACAATCAAATCAAGGAGGATGTAATATTTAGTATTTGTAAGCCTATAATTTAGATATGATAGACAATAAATAATTGGATCATAACTTCTGAAATATTTGATGGAGGTGGATTTTAAATATTGATCTATTTGAAAATTTTGCATGAAACGTTTTTGAATGTTAACAGACAAACATCACAACGGTAAGAACCTTTGAGGTGTAACACATAAATTAAGTTTAGGTTTTGTTGCATTTAATGTGGACTTTGCTGAAGTTTCTTAAAATAATTAGATTATTTTTGTTGTTATGCCTTTTTATACCGAATTTAAAAGAAATCGGAAACATATATCTGAAAAATAGTAAAAAGCAGACAAGAAATATAATAGATATGAAACATAAGGTTTGATTTAATTATTGAGGATATTGAAGATTGATTGTGGTTTGTTGATGTCGAAACTGATTATTTAAAGTTTAATTAAATCTCCGACAAGATAAAAGATCCAAAGAAAGATAAAATAATAGGCTACTAAAATTGAAAAACGCCCTAAAAATAAGGAATAGCCGAATAACAGCTTTTTAAAAAAATACGGTTTGTATAAAAATTTGTTTGAAGAAGATACTTTATTTAAGTACAGTGTTTATTTTTGTTAATTACGTATCTGAATATGACTTTTTCATGTTTCAAAATAAATTTCTAGCTTAATAACATTATTTATTCAAGTACAGTATTTCTGTTTTTCAGACAGATTTAAGAATATAATTATCGTAATTAAAAAAATTATCTAAAGAATAGACTTTTTTATCTAATTTTCAGATACACCTGGGAACGAAGATTTAGCCCTGGACTCACCATCTATGTCACCAGTTGCTCTAGGATCTAGTCATGACGAATCAGAGACAGGCGATATTGGGCCAGGGGGATCGGTCACGGATTCTTTGCCGACCGTCACAGACACCGACAATCCTCATCCCGAACCCGAAAAGTCACCTTCGGACTCAGAAGAAAACAAAGCAAGACATCTCACTCCAATTATTTCCCCTAAACACGTGATTAATCACAACAATAAAACCACCCTTTCTCCGAATTCACTAGAAATGTTGACTAGATTATTCCCTAACAAGAAGCGGTCAGTTTTGGAACTAGTGTTGCGAAGATGTGGGGATGACTTATTGAAAGCAATAGAAGAAATTGTTCCAAGAGATGTGTGCCAAAATGTCGCCAGTGGAAGTTCAAATCTACAAGGCAGTAATGCGTTACATCAATATCTAGCTTCGTACAAATCAACAGTAACAAATGAAAGCACAAAAGACGATACACGACGTACCGATACAGTGAATTCAGCTAGACCTTCCTCATCTGTACTTAAATCAGCTTTTAAACCTGTTTCCCCTTCAACATCCGCAAATATTAGTCCTAATACATCGTCAGCTATCGGCTTTGGCCATCACAGTAACTTGAATTCTACTCCAGAATTTTTTTTAGGTAGTTCAGCGTTGTTGTCGCCACCTACCGCTCATCAGAGTAGTTTACCGTTCGCAGCGACAATGTCCTCCCTGCTCGCGTTGCAGAACCACCAAACTAACAACTCCACGACTGGCAGGATCATGTCGAGTATGTTTTACCCTCCCTCCGATCTTCTATTTCAAACCCCTCACCTACCATTTGCGCATTCAGCAGCTCTGTTCACGAATTCTTTGTCGCCTTCGTTCTATATGACGGCTAGTAACGAGGCATCGGATCAACAGTTCTTTAACCCATATCGAAACACAGCTGCTTCAAGTTCGAGCGCTGATTTGTGTTGTAGTGTACCCGGTTGTGACGAGTGCAATGGAGATAATGGAGATTCGCATCAGCAAGGCAGAAAATCTTACTCGAAGATGTCTGTTAATTAGAAATAAAAATATTAAAAAATGTGATAGAATTAAAACAAATCGTATTTCTACTAGCAAAAATAATCCCCTACAACGAATTTGCATTCTTTGTTGAGTCAATCCACCATCGTTCGAGAAAGAAGCGATTTGATAATAGATAAAGTGACAACTTTAAATTAAATTTGGTACAGTGCCAACATTCGTACTTTATCAAGGTTGAAAGAATGGCTCAATTATTAGCATAAACACTGGAAATTAAGATGAAGACTTTTTATGAGTTTTCCCACTTCGTCTAGATAAATGCTAAAATACGAGTAATATGCCTTTTATTTAATTCACATCTGCTTTTATTTATATACTTTATCATTCAGAATAATTCATTCAACTCTATGTGTTAAATACAGGAATGTATCGTTAAATAAAACTTTAATTTGGAGAACTTTTTTTAAGATTGCATTGGGTAGATTATTAGCAAAACGACATTTTAAGAAATATTCCAGACACTTAATAATCAATCAGTCAATATGTTTTATGCGACTGAGATTCCCTAAGTCCAGACAAATCTAGTTTTAAAATTAATACGTTTGTATGAGATGTTGAGGACCGCTATGTTAGTACCGAACACAAAAATATTTGTTCACAGAATATGTACCTGTTTAATTACACTGTTTCGTGAATCAGTCTTAATAAACAATTCCTAAAGTATTTTTAGTATATTTTAAAAGAATTTCAGTTCTACAGACTGAAATTTAAATTCTGAATTTGTAACAATTGTTGATTTGTTATGCTGCAGTTACATTGAACATTGTCCGTTCCGCGAATTAAACTCTTTTCAGACTCACTGAGTTTACCGTAGATTTATCTGCCTGTAGTACACGTCAGTAGACGGAACAAAAATATGACATGAGTGGTCACATTACATCTGTCTCAGTCCGTTGGCACAAGGACAGTGAAAAGGTAATTTAATCGGGCAGCAAAAGCAGTTGGTACACTGACGCACCTATCGTCTTTATTGTGAACTAGACTACCGATGTGATTTTGTTTTCAGTTGTTTACATACAGTGGTCAGACGTAACATGTGTGGCAGCGAAGAAATTATCAATTTTGTTTCTGGAAAACGTTTGTTATAGTATATCTTCAAAAGTGTTTGGAATGTCATGGCTTTGGAAATGGAAATCACAAGTAAGTACTATTGAATTTATTGCTTTTACTGTGATAATGTACCCACAAACGTCGGACTGTTCTTATCAGCTTATAAACCACGCCCATTCCACTGCACACTAAACCGGATTCAACTGGATTGTATTAAACATTTTAGGGTCTCGTTCTACGCCCGTATTCAACTGAATAATTACCCCTTTAAAAACTTTACTCGTTTTTTTTATATTAGTTGCAATATTAAGGATCGTACTTGGAATCAGTGTTGGTTGGGTAGCGTAGTCTTGCGCTCGAGATTTCCAGGGTTCAAACCCGTGCTTGGAAACCGGCTATCCTTACAGAGGCGTTTCATGATTTTCCTCAGGCCTTCCATGCAAATGCTGGGATAGTAACTTAAATTTGATCGCAACTGCTTCCACGTATTTTACAATTCGTTATTTATGAGTTAGTGAAAGTGTCATAAAACAAAACAAATAAACACATTAAACAATTAATGTAGAAATCGGAATGTTTTGAACACCAGCGGACATCCCTCCCTGTGCTTCGACTCCAGTAATGTAGAAAATGAATAAGTTAGGACGCGTTGTCTGACAGGATATGATTCCTTTCCCTATGTAACCAAGATAACTATATTCTGCAGTCATATTGAGATAAGCAAACGTATTTATGGTCTATTGTGAAGTAGCTACTACAAATGTTCGTTCTAAATTAAGATTGAAGTGTCGTAATTTTTCTTAGAAGTGTCTAGAATTATCTTTCGTGAGACCGCTATTTCGTACATACAGACGGAAGAACAGAGCAGTTTTAGCACGTAATCCGCATGGTTACAAACTCGCCTCATTGAAACAATATACGTCTCTTGATATAATTTTTAACAAGTCGTAAGATCACAGGATCAGAAAAGTTATAATTCTAATTGGAAGACTGTATGTAGGCTTAGTGGGAATTTTGGAAAAGTTTCAGGCCTGTGTATTGCGTGTTCCGCAGAAGAGTTATAATTCTAATTGGAAGACTGTATTTGTCATTTTTTTTCCAACCAGCAATCCCAAGTGAATAGTTTTAACATATAAAACATAGTTAAAGCAGTTACTGATATTTTAGATGTACCTGCTGTCTCCATCATCAGATCAGGCCCTGTTGTGTTAACCTGAAATCTTTACACGTATTGTTGATTATGTAAGAAGGTAATCGTGTTCCGTTTCAGTCGCATATAACCTACGTTATCCTTCGTATGCCGGCTTGTTCCGTTCTGTCGGTACAATAGGTATCTGTACATACCGGCAATAGTTACTCCGAGTCTGAGGATTGAACAGGAAGTGATTTTTGTAAGATACTTTGATTATGAATACTTTTAAACCTACGGCGCCCATAGATAAGAAGGAGAAGCCAGGTTTAACACTGAAATGAATATAGGTTACATATTTTATTCGAAACATTTGTGACGTCATTAAAATAATAAGTTTTGTTTACTGTGAACAGCCAAATAGCGGATTTGTAACAAGGGGTTAGAAAATACATTAATTGGCGCATAAGCGTTGTAACTGGAGTAACAAATATGATATTTGTAAATGAAGTTTGTGAAAACTAATTCAGGTTAAGGGAAATATCACATTTATTTTATTATGTGAATTTCAGTACTGTTATCGTACAACGGAAATTTTGGAAACGTTAAAGTGTGTATGTTTAAAGGCATAGTTACAAATTTGAAAAATATATTAAGAAAATGGAGTTAAAGAGAGAAGAAACTACGAATTTAAATGTACAGTTTGGAATAAAAGTCAGACTAACTGAATATTTCCTCTTATTATTCATTTGAATTAAACCACTGTGACAAATATACTATATTATTGGTGTTAAAATATTAATTTTTTTAAATTCTGAACGCCGCTAATACCAAACCTGGCACCTGACTATTCCTATCTACCCTCAATTCTAATAACCTATTTCCCTGAAATCTATTTTAATTCTGCCCTCGCATCTAATTAGTTTTCGAGTGGCCGTATCACAACGTGTAGATGCCCTCGCGTCTAATTAATTTTCGAGTGGCCGTATCACAACGTGTATCCTTACGAAAATTTCCAGAGCTTTATATATTCTTTTGAGACGAGACTGAAATTTCATATATTCACTCAAAATGTATTTCTTAATGTAAAATTTCAACATAGAATAAGGATGAATATTGCAATATTTATTTTTCAGTAATTTAATATTTAATTTAAGTTTTTAAATGTTACATATTTTAATTGTTCTTAACTTTTTAATAGTTTTAATATTTATTCTTAACTTATTTTTCATGTATTCATATATTATTTTAATTTGTAAAAAGTCATGCTTAAGTGGCAAGATTACAAGTAAAATTCCTGACATATTTGCCAAATGTTACTGATTTTCGTTGGGTAGGAAATTGTAACTTCAGAACCACCACAGTTTTCTATAAATATTTTAAGTTTTAATCTACAATGCCTGAACGTCGGTTAAATTTGACGTAGAGAAGTTTACTTGTACATATTTTATATATGTATATTTCTCTAGAACAAACAATCATTCGGTTCTGCTTGTTTATTTATCTTGCCTTCTACGTACATAGAAGAATCAGCCTTGTACTGGTAACAGAGATTTACATTTTGAAACATGTAATTATTTTCCCACAACAGCCTTTAAACCAGGATTGTTACAAAATAAAAGTTAAATGGCATATTTATTGTCCAGATAATGAATTTTGTAATGAAATCTGGACTGAATTTGTGATCTTATGTATAGTTTATCAATAATCCTGAACTCACAGGCAATAAAATGGAAAAGAATGTATTAAAGTATAGATTACTTCCTGCTGCTTTCAAAATGCCACACGGTTTGTCGGAAGATTTGTGACAAACGTGTGTTTTTGGACACTTATACTGCTGCCCGTAGGGTCTGTAACCTCCATCAGCCATGTCTCTACAAAGCAGAAACGTGTCACTATCGACACACACAAAATTCTTCGATTTGCATTCGTCTTTTGTTGACGAAGTTACGTGTCCAGTACCGACAGGTACATATGACGACGTATAATGACTTTGGCAGTGGTAAAAATATGTTTCGTTGCAAATTGTGTTTTGAGGGCAATAGTAATTTGGCCCCCAAGGATATGAAAAACCCTGATGGTCGTACTTGCATAGTTGATATTCGTAGTTGTTTGTACATATGAATCCGTGGACGCTGCATCTCCTGGTACTTGGAGTGTAAGGTCCAATAGAGTGTAGTTCCAAGCACTGAGACGCATTACACACTGTGTTATAAGGGCAGGCAATGGGTTTATCCAAGATGTGGACAGATCTATTTCCGTGGTCAACACACATTTTGAAATGTGTGGCATTTGTACAAACAATGCCTTTTGGGCAAATGTTAAACGCTGTCACAGTCATCCCAAGAAACAGCACGAAAACCACCTGGTGACAACAGAAACAAACAATCCATCTGTATGATCGCTTTTTATTACTTGCTGTTAAGGGATTTTGAGCCTTGTAGATTAATAATTATGATTGTATTTGTTTAAATCCTGTCAGTCTAATCACAATAAAATTCCTATTAAATATTAAAATATTACTATAATTAACATTTAAATATTTAAAATATATTAATGATGTTCTCTATCGAAATGTTCGATTTACATTAGATCATTAAATCGAACATTTCGATAGAGAACATCATTAATATATTTTAAATATTTAAATGTTAATTATAGTAATATTTTAATATTTAATAGGAATTTTATTGTGATTAGACTGACAGGATTTAAACAAATACAATCATAATTATTAATCTACAAGGCTCAAAATCCCTTAACAGCAAGTAATAAAAAGCGATCATACAGATGGATTGTTTGTTTCTGTTGTCACCAGGTGGTTTTCGTGCTGTTTCTTGGGATGACTGTGACAGCGTTTAACATTTGCCCAAAAGGCATTGTTTGTACAAATGCCACACATTTCAAAATGTGTGTTGACCACGGAAATAGATCTGTCCACATCTTGGATAAACCCATTGCCTGCCCTTATAACACAGTGTGTAATGCGTCTCAGTGCTTGGAACTACACTCTATTGGACCTTACACTCCAAGTACCAGGAGATGCAGCGTCCACGGATTCATATGTACAAACAACTACGAATATCAACTATGCAAGTACGACCATCAGGGTTTTTCATATCCTTGGGGGCCAAATTACTATTGCCCTCAAAACACAATTTGCAACGAAACATATTTTTACCACTGCCAAAGTCATTATACGTCGTCATATGTACCTGTCGGTACTGGACACGTAACTTCGTCAACAAAAGACGAATGCAAATCGAAGAATTTTGTGTGTGTCGATAGTGACACGTTTCTGCTTTGTAGAGACATGGCTGATGGAGGTTACAGACCCTACGGGCAGCAGTATAAGTGTCCAAAAACACACGTTTGTCACAAATCTTCCGACAAACCGTGTGGCATTTTGAAAGCAGCAGGAAGTAATCTATACTTTAATACATTCTTTTCCATTTTATTGCCTGTGAGTTCAGGATTATTGATA